ATTCTTCATATTTCAACAAGCAATGCATACTGTAGAGTCTGCTTTTGAATGGATTCTGGTTAATGGAGCAATTGTAATCAACTTGACCACTTTTCAGCAAGAACCAGAATCCGATAGAAACCTTCTAGGCATGCTCACAAGAGTAGGGTATTCATGTGGAAGGCAAAACTACTGTACAACAGATTTGTCTGAAGCTGGGTGGCCGCAGAACAAGAAAAAATAAAAAAAAACTTTATCAATCTTAAAAAAAAGAAAGAAAATGTCTGGGAATTAAAATGCTCAAAAAATCACAAAAAACGAATTCATTTCAGATAATTTTAAAATAATAAAAAATCAAATACTTTTTTTAAAACTAGGAGGCTCCGCCTCCTGCTCGCTAACGCTTGCCAACCCCCGAGAATTGCTACGCAATCCTATGTGGTTCACGCCGTGAACCATGGCTCNGCTGCATTGTAATGTAAGTTTACGGTTGTGTGTGTGGTTTCTCCTGTGCTGCTATTAACAGTAGCGTGCAGGTTCCCGTTGTGTGTAAATCAGACTGAGAAGCAACAGCGCAAGGAGAACGTCACGCAGTTACAAATAGCAAGTCAACTGTTCGATGTGGACCATTCACCAAAGTGGCGTTACTTTCGAAGTAGGCGAGTTCGTATCACGTCTGGGTCACCAATGTGGAGAAGGAGCTTTCGAGAATGCCAATCTTCATCTAATAAAATGTACTCCAGGATTGAATTGCTGGATAATAGGTATATCTCGGTGCTTGGCGCGAAGTGCCACTAACCAATTCGTCGATATTGGATAATTCTATGATTAAGTCATAAAATCCAAAAGTTCTGAGATGTAAGAAGAATTTCTGAGTCATTGAAGGAGTAGGACAGGAGTTGAAATCCGGGGATTATAAAATCAAGTACTTCTTTTTAAATATTGTTTTAAATTAATTTTTTTAAAAAAGTTTTTTTCTTCCATTTTAATAGCAAGCGTTTATAATATAATTAATGCATAAATATAAGGAATAACGGAAAAAAAAATTATTAGTGACATTTCTGTCAAAGATTACAAAAATCGGGGATTTTTTTCTTGATTTATTGTGGTCACTGGTCGCCCTAAAAATGTATGTCCTCTTAATTAGCAAAAATCGAGACTAATTGAACACAATGTTTACACACGTATTTTTAAAAAATTAATTGGTACATTCAAAACGATTATTTTCTGTACAATATAATTTGCAGTTTTTTAATGTTTTCTTTAAAAAAACAAATCAATGATTTTTAATTTATATGTTTAACAATATTTTTAAATTTTTTTTGCTGTATTATTATTTAGAGTGGTTTCTTACATAATTTATTTTGTATTTGTTGTCCGTTATTTGTTTCAAATGAAACATTGAATGCTTAATTTGGACGTATAATGGGCAACAGATATAAGCAAAACTTGAACGAAGCAAAAACTTTTTTAATAGATCGAAATGCATATTCAATATGTATTTCAATCTATTAAAATAGTTTGTACTTCATTCGTGCAAACAATTGTTTTTATAGTAAGCAAAAGCTTTTTTATTTCAAAAATTAATAATTTATTCAAAATATTTGGCGAGATGTTTGGCAGAAGAAAAAAAAAATATCTCCAAAGAGAAATTCCACTTACCAAACTCTTTGTGAAACCTTAGATCTATTTAAACAGTTTTAGTTGAGCAAAGTCTTAGAATATCGGGTCGATATTCCTTGGAACTAAATTTGCTGACGAATGCGCCCCTTTGAACGGATGCCAATTTTATTTCTTTGATAGGGCAACACCTGGTTTGCATTCGATTGAACTTCTATCGTCCAAGCTCTCTGGAAAGTGCTGACGTGGCATTATCAAACTATCATTTTGTAACGAAGGCAAAAAAAAAGGTAGAAAGTTTTGAAACTTTTTTTTACAGGAATTATTTCTAAAATAGGTGAAAATATTTTTAAAATTAGCATTTCTAATTAATAAATAATTTATATATTTTTTATTATATTGGAACGATTTTGAATATTTCATTTTTTTTCCTACAAAACCTCAGATTTATTTTTTTTCAAAAGACTTACCCAGTAGATAAAAAGTTAAGTCTTTAAAAAAAAAACATATCCAAAGGTTGGTAATCTTTAAAAATTATTTTTAAATTTGTTAATAGAGGCCACACTGGTAGAAGAGACTCTGCAGCTCGGCTGCTGCAGAATAGCAAAACATCTGCAGATTATTTTTCATCTTAGATTACCTGATTTTTTTTATATTTATAATTTCTGTCTGATTGAGTTGGCAGATAAATTTGAACTCATGAAGATTGTGTTGCAGATTCAGGCAAAAAATTTGCCTNTGAACTCATTAAGAATGCGTTGCAGATAAATACAAAATAATAATAATAATAATTCTGCTACGGGGAAACATCTAAAAGACAATGCAAAAAATTAATCTAAGAATACTTGATTTTTCTTTTCTTTTATAGTTTCTGTCTGACTGGGTTGGCAGATGAATTTGAACTCATTAAGAATGCGTTGCAGATAAATACAAAATAATAATAATAATTATGCTACGGGGAAACATCTAAAGGACAATGCAGAAATTAATCTTAGATTACCTGATTTTTTTCATTTATAGTTTCTATCTGAGTTGGCAGATAAAGTAGAACTCATGAGGAATGTATTGCAGATAAATAAATAAATAAAAAAAAAAACTGCTGCAGGGAAACCTCTAAAAGACAATCCAAAAATTAATCTTAGATTGCTTGATTTTTTTTTCATTATGGTTTCTGTCTGACTGAGTTTGTCGACAAATTTGAACTTATGAAAATTATGTTGCTTATTCCCTCAAAAAAAAAAAAAAATCCTGTTACAGGGATTTTACTGAAGTACAATTCGAAAATTAATAGTAATTCTGAAACTTTTGCAAATTAATAAATGAATGCGAAAGTTAGTTATCGGAAAAACAGTACTGCTATATTATTTTAAATTTTTTTTCTTCCTGAAACCTAAAGCGGTGACAATTCACCTAAGTTTAGTTGCTTAGAAGCAGCAGTAGTTGGTTTGTTGTCAGAACAAATAGTATGTTATAAATTCATTTTTATTTTCTTAATATCTTATTCTTGATTTAATTAGTTTTTTTTAAGTGAACTCAACATAACGATTTTTTAATAGGCAGTAAGATGTTTTTGTACATTACGCTGCTATCTAGTGGAAGTTTCGATGATTTGTAAAGTGCCCATTTAGAAACAATACTATAGAAGAATTTAAAGAAAGTCTCAACTTGGTAAAAAATAGAGATTCTCATCATATTATCGCTAAGCCCTTAAAATATATTAGATTTGCTCCTTTAAATGTAACAAAATTCACGTTGGAATTTTTTACGATTGATTATTATTAATTAACAACTGAATTAATGACTAAATTTAACAATTATACTAATATAACTGAATTAAAAACTAAAATTGAAATAAATAAATAAATTAGACCCATTTTTTTACTGAGTACTATGCTAAGAATTAGAGCACTACCTTAAAAATACACGTACTGCTTATTTCATGACCTGCAAGCAGTTTCATGCATTTTTTTAAGAAATTTTTTTTTCAAATTTTGATAAATTATTCTTCAATTAATTTTGAATTAAAGAATAATTGGTTCATTTGGAAAATTTCACGAAGTTTGATTGCTTATGCAGTACAAGTACTATACTTAGGAGCTATTGGTAACGGTCTGCGTTCCCGCCACATTCATGGTCGGAAAGCAGAGGACAGTAATCACCCGGCAGGTAACGTCATCGTAGGTAACATGGCATTTGTCGACTCAGAAGCCAATTAGGTTTGAATCTCACGCGTGACGTGGCTTACAGTGGATATCCAATTAAATCTGATTTAAATCACATGGTAAGGCATTATCACTTCACTTCTTTTCGAGTTGCAAGTACCCAATTCTCAGTTTCTGAAAATTTTCTATGTGCCCAGATAATATAGCGTTGTAGTAACTTAAGTACTGTATAAAAGGATCACAAATGCTTTTGATTTTTACGAAACTGTGGCTTATTTGTCTAAATATTGACGTTTTGCGCCATTTTCAGAATTTGCATAAAGCGCAAGCTAAAGATAGGCTTAACTTGACCTATCAGTCATTAATTCGTTGCAAACTCACGGCAGTTTATAAAATGGCACATTATTTGAAAAAGTGCTATTTTATGTGATGACATAGCTTTCGAAAAACAGCCTTTTGAAATGTTTGAAAAGGGAATATCAACACGATTATTCAAATGTTTGATTCCTTCGCTGTTCCGCTTTCAAAATCTTCTCTCCAATGCTTAATGCAATTTGGAGATCAAATGTAGATGTGAATTGAAGTTCTTTGATCTTCGAGACAGTCGAATAATGGATCCATTAACAAACCTCTGTGTTCAGATCTTTGGCTCTTTTAAGTACATTCATTAGAATAAAATAGAAAATCTCTCTCTCTGCATAGCTACCACATCGCGCTAAATAATGTGATTTGCAATTAATTAATTTTGGGAGAACAGCGACTAGTATTTTGTCACAACTTGTGCTGTACAGGCGTATTGCACTGATGCTAAAAAGTAACAATTTAATTCTTTATCTTATGCTGGAATATATTTTTTTGTATTATAAACAAATTAAGTTTTAAGAAATAAAAATTTTAAGACAAAAATAAAGATTTAGTAAGCGTTGTAAAATGAAGATGGTATGTGATTTTATTCATTAGTCCTTAAAATATGATGAAATTTCATCTGTATATTAGAGACAATTGTGTTTCTGTAGTAAATGTCTGTTGCTGATTTCTGAACAGGCAGTAAGTAATACAACGATGAAGTTTAAATAACTAAAATATACGTACATTAGATATTTTCGGATATATATATATATATATAGAAGCTAAAAAATTGAGAAAAAATAAAAAATACTGACAAGAGAAGAAAATTATTTACAATAATTTTTTAAAAGTATTTAAAAAACATAATTTTTAATACCTATTGTGCTGATGAATGCATATATGTATTTGCAATTTATGTATGTTTTTCTGTGCATTTTAGTTATTACCCTTGCCTGATTCATGGCCTGTTTCACCTGATTTCGTTGAAGAAGAATGTTATCTTACTAATGTAAGTGTTTAATATACATAAGTTTGGGTAATTTTGTTTATTAATTCATAGTTTGTTTTAATTTATTATTATACTTGATTTTTCTGTCTTTAGATTCGACTTCGAGGCAATACTGAATGGGCCCCACCTAGAGCTCAGATAATCAGTATTATTCACCCTCATTTAAAGTAAGATTACTTTTCAAACTTTTTTAATTAATGGTGGTCCATTAGTCCGGTTTCATTGAGATTTAACTCAAACTGACATAAAATAATTATCAGTGGTTCCTCGAACCTGCAACTGATATAAGGGGATGATATGTTGTTTTGGTCTGTGTTTTTGAACTTAAAAGTAACAAATTTCATCATAAATGTGAACATCACAAATTCTCTACACCAAAGTTTTTTTTTATATGAAATTACTTTACTTACTTTCTTTAGAAATGTGTGTGCATAAAAGAGACGTACAAATGGACCAGGGAAAATGTGTATGAACTATTGTGTAAATGTGTATGATCTGAAGTACCTGCAACTAAATTATTTAGTGACTCAATTTCTCGTTTGCAAATACAGTCGGACCTCTATTTAAAGAAGTTTCTAAATCCTGACAATAAGTTCGTTATATGGAAAATTCGTTAAATAGAAAATCATCTTTTGAAATACTTAAACAACACAAAACAGGTTTCAAATTCATAAACACTAGACATGATTAAAATAGCAATGGATACACCTTTATATTTTAAAGTACAGTACAGAACCCGTTATCCGGAAATCAGAAAACCGGAAAACCAAAAAACCGGAACGAAATTCGCAATTTATACAATAAATTTTCCCGAAATTTAAAATTTTTTTTTTTTTTTCCTCATAGGATTTTAGGATTTTTCTTTCTTTTTTGAAAGATGTTTACCTTACCATCATTTTGGAAATAATCATTAGTGTATNAAAAAGCGCTTTCGACAAAACATTAAAATAGAAATCTATCGACAAAGACTACTCACTTCTGCCTAGCTTAATAGTATGAGATTGCCGCAGCTGATAGGGTGAATTTCGGAAGAGATCACATTTGGTGAGAATGCTCTCTCTGGTTATTTCAGTTTCCGTTTTTAAAAGAGCTATAGAGCCACCTCAACTAGATTTGGTATGTGGCATTTTTAGCGGCAATCATTGGTCGATTTTCTAGCGTGCCATTCGGGGAGTTGTAATGAGGCTTTTTTTTATCGCCGTGTAAGAGAAATACATACACACACACATACACACATATATATATATATATATGACGCCCGGTGGCTGAACGGTAGCGCTTTGCGCTGTCGTGCCACAGGTCCCTAATTCGATCCTCGGGCCGGGCAAGGTTGACTCAGCCTTTCATCCCTTCAGTGGGTCGATAAATGAGTACCAAGCATGCTTGGGAACTAAACACTGGGGGTTCCGCGTTTCGGCTGACCACCTGACCGGTTTTTTTTATATCTTTTATGATTTTTATATCTTTTCAAGCACTATAATTTTTAATACCGAAAAAAGAAAAAAAAAATCCAGATTTTGAACAAAATTTATTTTATTTTTTGCGTAAATTGGATTTTTGTACAGTTTAGAGAGTTCTGTAACGACATTTTAATCGAAGTCGTTGAAAAGATATAAAATGAAAGATAATGTTCTTGAAAACATTTATAAATAGGTTATAGAAAGTATTAATTCCCTTTTGATTTAAATGGATACTAATGTTCCTCTAGGACTGCTTAACTTATTGTTCCAATCTTCTGCGCTACGATTTATAGGGAAAAATTAGGAAATTTTTCGATGTTCAGTGACCAATTTTAGTACTTTTAACAGTTGCCACTTTTTAAGACATGTGGACGCTTTATCAAAAATTTAAAGCTGTAAACAATCAGAAAAAAAGCTGCTGATGTCAATTATGTATTGTATTCCTTTTGAAGCATTTTTTAACATCTGATGAATTTACAAGTTTCATTTCCAAAATGATGTAAAATTTTAAGACGCATGTGTGAAATAAAGTACTTTTCGGAATATTATGTTGTTTACGTATGCCTGTTTAGGCAGAGGGGGTGCGATTGTTCTTGTTTTCCAGTGGCGCCATCTAGGGTCAATAATTCGACTTCTGCCACACCGTACGTCACACCCGTTTATAGAGCGGACCCATTCATACATCCATTCATTCATCCACAGATCGTAATTTTGACCTGAATCAGAGAACGGTCGATCTCCAATCCAGTACCCCCAGAGATGTTGATTTGCTATGGGAACATGGAGGACTTTTGCGACTCGACAGATTTAACGTGCATCAGTCACTTTACTACACGGGGAGTCTTCGGCCGGCGGGGTTCGATCCCACGAACCCTCGGACATGAGCCCAGCGCCCTATCGACCTGGCTATCCCGACCTCGGAATATTATAAAATATGCTTATTAATCCTATATTTAAACACATGGGGCATGTGCATTATAATAAAATTCACATTTCTGATAAAAAAAAGCGGTAATTGGGTGGCGACTGGCATATAATTTTACAGTCACCCCGTGGCCGGTAGCAACCATTAGTTTTGCCCGATTATACCAAGCTTTTTTGAATTTTTTTGTTTTTTAAATAAAGTATTTTTATGTTTATAATTTTAAGCAAGTAAAATTTACATACATACTGTATTATCAAATAATTTATCATTTGTTTTAAGCTAGATACTTTAATTTAATTTTATAATCAATGTTTAACAGCCAACCAAATTCTGAATACAATTATCCATGATCAACTTTAATAAACTCCCAGAAAACAAGGGAACTGTTGGATCAAGTATTAGGACAAAATAGCCTTCGTGGGGAACTTTTTGACTGAACTAACCCGCATTTGCGTTACATGGAGAGGAAAATCCCGCAAACCTCCTACAGTTAGCCTGATGGCATGGACTATCCATGATCTATTTACCACTGAGTATAAGTTTACGTCAGAAATGTGGTCGGTGCGAGCTGAGAGTAGAATTCGTATCAACCAGTCACTGCTGGGGTTCGAACCTGGGTCGGGTCACCTCATTTAGAAGCGAACGTTCAATTCCCTTTGCCGCCACGGCCCCAGCTAGATAATTATGAAGTTTTCAAAAATTACTTTTTGCAATGTCGTCACTCATCTAAAAATAAAAGTAATTTAATGTTTCAAGAATACTGCAACCTGTCTGTTAGCAGGGACACTATGATGGAAGGTCACTCTAAATTCCTTAACTGTTCGCGCACTTTTTGAAAGTTGGAAAAAATTTATTTCTGATATTAGAGAAATTTAGGGTATTGTTTGATTTTTCAAATGCATAGCAAATGGAGTTTCAGCTAACCAACTACTGTTACTTTTATTTTACTGCTGCTTAATTTTAAATTGCAAAAAAAGTCGTTTTTTATTTAGCAGAAGAGGGAATTAATCAGTTTAATGCTAATTTAATTCGGCAAAATTAAAATTTTGAGTAAAGTCATTCTTATTGCAGTGGGTGTATTCGTATTACTCACCAAAATTACATCATAGGATCGTTAACCGACAGAGAAGATCCAGATATCTTTGGTTGTGATTATCATTATCAGTAGCAGGTAGAAAGGATACTGAAACAAAAATTTTACTTTTTTAACTTCATTAAAAGAAGAAGCAATTACAGTATTTAAAAAAATTATAGAAATAAACAAATTTTACTATAAATAATGGCCAGGATAGCCTGGTTGGCAGGGCGCTAGAATCACGTTCGGGGGAACGAGAGTTTGAATCTAGCGGTTTCCGTTTAGTGAATGATAACTGCTGCACGTTATATTTGTCGGGTCACAAAGTCCTCCATGTTCCCATAACAAATTTAACCTCTGGGGGTACTGAATTGGAGAGTGATCTTTCTTTGGGTTAGGTTAAAATTACGATCAGTGGATGAATGATTGTATGTGTGAATGGGACCACCCTATAAACGGGCGTGACGTATGGATTTGTCAGAAGTCAAATTCTTAGCCATAGGTGGCACCACTGGAAAACAAGAACGATCGCAACCCTTGCCTTAATGGTCAACGATAAAAACAACTATAAATAATATTTTTTTCAATTTATGAAAAACTGAAAATTGAGGAAAAATAGGACGGTATCATAAGACCAGTGAAGAGGATATGCTGTTCACTCGCTTATATAACCCTGTGTACCAGGCCATCTGATGATTATATAATGTAAGATGATGATGATTATATAATATAAGATGATGATGCTTATATAATGCAAAAACTGTAAATCCTAAATTTTAGTAGAAAATTTATTTTATATGTGTTATAATTACATATAATAGTAATTTTACTGTATATGTGTCAACATTAAATGCATAATAATAATTAATTTGGAATTTCAGAACTTTAACACATATATGTTTGGATTATATATGTGTCAAAGTTGTACTTAATTTGAAATTAATCGTATATGTGTAAAAATTTCGCAGAATAGGAATTTGATTCTAAATGCAGAGTGTAGGAGTTAAATTATATAAATATTTTGAATGTACCTATACAGTAAAAAATATGTTCGATCTATATTATTTTGTTCAAAACTTAATTCATGTCCATCTTATTTCTTTCCCCCAATTAATCTTCGTGCATAATTGATTCGATAAAAATTAATTTTATTACCTTCCAACAATTTCGAAGAATTTCCGGACAATTACGAAGTTTTCTAACTTTCCTCTCCAGACTGTCAGAAGTTTTATTTTTTCTACTTATGGTTAGAGTTAAGAAGCACGCAAATTTTATAAGCCTAACTAAAGTTCATAAGTTATACCGAAAAACATTTTCCTAATCGAATCGAAAAAAATAATTTCATTTTGAACAAACGTCACAAACCATCAGCGTCAAATAGCTTAAACCTCATCTGTTTAAAAAGAACCGCATTCCTATTCTAAGCCTACTTTATTTTTAATCCCACCAGATGTCGCTACAGTCGCTAAACCCTAGCGCATTTTCACATTCCACCAGGAACACATGAGAGTGATTTCCTGAGTCTGAGGGAACAGCTAGAGGAGCATCGCGTTCTGAGATTTTAAATCATCCCCTTCCGATAACAACAGGAGGGAAGTAGTGGGTGCAAATTTTTTTTTTCTTTTGTTGTTTCACGTGACATGAAATTCCGGGATGCAGCAAAGTTCAACCTAACAGGCACAACTGGTTGTTTCTTCCTCGAAAGCGTGAGTACTTGATCCTGTTTTTCCTGATATTTCGTGAAGTAATCCTTTTTCCAGATTCTTTTTCACATCTTCCATCTCATCATTCTGTTCTTGGAACAGCGGCAGGGTAGAGAAACGTGCTTTTACGATGTTTCGCGGGATAGACGGAAGAAAAGGAAAGGTGCGTTTTTTAAACTAGACGCATCTTTTATTTTTTTATTTATTTATTTTTATTTTATTTATTTTTAATCTTGGGCAGTCACGTTTGGAATACGCAATCGAATTGTGTTAGTCAGAAACGTGATCGACCATATGTGAAGTTTTAACGCGATTACGAAATTAGATCGAATACTTATAAAAACTGAAGTTAGTTAATTTTTGTGGACTGATTACGTAAGTGCAACTCATACACAATGTTATAAGAATAAGCATAGTAATTAAGTTAGTTAAAATAGGACTTTATTCATATTGCTATTTTTTAATTAATGGTTTAATGTGATATTGCAAAATGTTTAGCGGAAGAAAAAAACGAAATTTTTTTTTATTTTATTTATTTATTTAATTTATTTTTATTAATAAAATTCACTTTAAAAAACGCAATGTAATTGTGTTAATTCTTTGAATATAGAATTTTATTGAGACGAAATACTTGTAAAAGCCGAAAAAGGGTACGGTTAGTTAATGTTTGCGCATTGCTTACTTACATTGCTTACTGTTATTATTATAATAATTTAATTAAATATTAAATATGATATTGAGAAATGAAATACACTGTCTAGTGTTAGGAAAAGTGAAAAAAAAATTGAATTATTGCATAAAAATATTGATGTGATTGTGAAATGAGGTGGGATAATTGTAAACACTGAAGAAAAGTACGATTAGTTAAATTTTGTGCATTGTCTACTTAAGTGCATCCAGTATGTTATGTTAAATCATAACAGAGTAATTAAACTTGGAATTTGTTGTTATTTTTATAAATTAATTAAATATTTAATATGTTATTGTGAAATGGAATATAATTTTTATTGAGAAAAAAAATCGGAAAAATATTGACATATATTATTTTATTAATTAATTTAATTTATATAATTATTAATTAATTTAATTAATCAAGCAAAATCAGTTTTGATGAGCATAATCTAATTGTTTTAAAGAGAAACGTAATCGTTTGAATATAGAATTTTACTGTGATTGTGAAATGCAATGATATAATTGTAAAGACTAAAGAAAGGTATGATTAATTAATTTTTGTGCATTGCTTACGTAAGTGCATCCAGTATATTATGCCTAAGTATAATTGAGCAGTTGAACTTGGTAGTTGTTATTATTATTGTAATTATTAAATATTTAATATAATATTGCGAAAGGAAATGCAATGTTTAGTGGGTTTAGTATTAACTAATTAAATTTATTTTTATCATGAAAAATAACTTTTGAAGAGCATAATCTAATTGCGTTAGAGAGAAAATGTACTTGCTTGAGTATGGAAATTTTGTGATTGCGAAGGGAAATGATATAATTATAAAAATTAAAGAAAGGTAAGGATAATTAATTTTTGTGCATTGCTTACGTAAGTGCATCCAGTGTGTTATGCTTAAATATAACTGAGAAATTAAATTTAGAATTTGTTGTTATTATTATTATAATTTAATTAATTGTTTAATATGATAAGGTGAAACAAAATCCAATGCTTAGTTAAGAGAGAAACTGGAAAAAATATAGACATATATTATTTTATTAATTAATTTAATTTATTTAATCAAGCAAAACCACTTCTGAAGTGCATAATCTAATTGTGTTAGAAAGGAACGTAATCATTTGAATATGGAATTTTACTGTGATTGCGAAATCCAATGATATAATTGTATGGACTAAAGGTATGATTTATTAATTTTTGTGCATTGCTTACGTAAGTGCATCCAGTGTATTATGCTTAATTATAACTGAGTAATTAAATTTCGAATTTGTTGTTATTATTATTATAATTTAATTAATTGTTTAATATGATAATGCGAAATAAAATCATATGCTTAGTTGGAAGAAAGACCGGAAAAATATAGACATATATTATTTTATTAATTATTTTAATTTATTTTTTCCTTGAAATTCTTTGAATTATTTCCTTCTTTTGAACTAAACGCACAATCAAATTGTGTTAGAGTAAAGTATAATTTTCGATTATGGAATTTTCCCGTGATTGCGAAATAAAATGATGTAATTGTAAAAACTAAAGAAAGGTATGGTTGATTAATTTTTGTGCATTACTTCGTTAGTGCATTCAATGTATTATGCTTAATTATAATTGAGTAGTTAAACTTCGAATTTGTTTGCATTATTATCATAATTTAATTGAATGTTTAATATGATATTGCGAAAGGAAATGTAATGTTTAGTTGAAGAAAAAACTGGAAAAAGTGTATACATATATTTTATTAATTAATTTAATAAATTTTTGTCTTCAAAAATCACTTTTAAAGCACATAATCAAATTGTGTTAGAGAAAAATGTACTCGTTTGTATATGGAATTTTACTGTGATTGCGAAATGAGATGATATAACTGTAAAAACTGAGCAAAAATGTATGGTTAGGTAATTTTTGTGCATGCTTACGTAAGTGCATTTGGTATATTATGCTAAAATTTAACGGAGTAGTTAAATTTGGAATTTAATTTCATTATTGTCATATTTTAATTAAATGCTTAATATGGTATTGTGAAATGAAATACAATGCTTATTTGGAGGAAAAACCGGAAAAAATAAAGACACATATTATTTTATTAATTAATTAAATATATTTTTTCACTTTTGGAACGCATAGTCTAATTGTGTTACAGAGAAACGTAATCGTTTGAATACGGAATTTTTTCGTGATTGCGAAATGAAATGATATATTTGTAAAAACTAAAGAAATGTTTGATTAACTAATTTTTATGAATTGCTTACTTAAGCGCATCCAGTATGCAAAGTAGTTAAACTTAGAATTTTTCAATTATAATTTATTCAAATGTTCAATTATAATTTAATAATTAATTTTAATTTTATAATTAATGTTTAATTGTGATTTAATAAAAAATGTTAATCAAATGTTTTATTATAATTTATTCAAATGTTTAATATGGTATTGCGAAATGAAATCTAATGCTTAGTTAGCGGAAAAACTGGAAAAAAATATAGATATATGAAATTTCCTTTATTAATTTAAATTTTTTTTCTTGAAAAGTGACTTTTGAAACGCATAATAAAATTGTGAAGAGAAACGTAGTTGTGTGCGTATGGAATATTAATGTGATCGCGAAGTCAGTTGTGATGATTGCAAAAACTGAAGAAAGGTACGGTTAGTTGTTAATTTTTTTACGGTTAGTCATTAACCTTTAAAATTAAGTAACTTATAAATTTTTTCCAATTCGAAAAATGATTTCGGAATTGTGTTTACGGATTGTGTAAGTGAAAAACGTCATTGACAGAATATGGAATTTTAATGTGATGGAGAAAACAGTTAGGATTCTTTCATTTTGGGATATTTGTTAATTTCTGTGGACTTCATAGCGCAAGAGCAACCAATATATTATGTTTAATGGAATAAACTTAATTATAATCGTGTAGTTTAAATATAAATATTCATTGCTATTTTTTTAAAACTAAATGTTTAATATGAAATCACGAAATGAAATACAAAATTTAAGAAAACTAAATTGTAAGAAAATGGATAAATTTATTAAAATTAAAAAATTAATTAAAAAAATAAGTTAAATTAATAAATTAAATAAATAAATAAGCAAATTAAGCAAATAAATTAAATAAATAAATTAAATAAATAAATTAAATAAATAAATTAAATTGCTAATTATTTTATTTTTTGAAAAATAATTTCTGAAAAGCGCAATTATGTTGTACTACTAAGAAAAATGTTTAACTGTGTAATAAATTTTAATGCGATTGCGAAATGGAATGGAATACTTGTAAATTAAGGAGAGAACTAATTTTAAGAACTATGTGCATTCATAACAAGTGCAATCAGTATGTTAATTAAAAAAATTAATTAAAAAATAAGTTAAATTAATAAATTAAATAAATAAATTAAATTAATAAATTAAATAAATAAATTAAATAAATAAATTAAATAAATAAATTAAATTAATAAATTAAATAAATAAATTAAATTAATAAATTAAATTAATAAATTAAGTTAATAAATTAAGTAAATAAATTAAATTGCTAATTATTTTATTTTTTGAAAAATCATTCCTGAAATGCGGAATTATGTTGCACTACTAAGAAAAATGTTTAACTGTGTAATAAATTTGAATGCGATTGTGAAATGGAATGAAATACTTGTAAATACAGGAGAGAATTAATTTTAAGAGTTATGTACATTTGTAACAAGTGCAATCAATATGTTCTGTTTATGAAAATAGAATAGAATTGAATCACTATTTATATCTTATTAAATGTTTAATATGATAACGAGAAATGAAACGCAATATTTAGAGAAAGAAATCGACAAAAAGGAAAAAAAATTTAAATTAATTAATTTTCTTTATCATCTTGTAAAGACATTTCTGAAATGCGAAATTGGATTATATTAATGAGAAATGTGATTGACCGGGTGTGGAATTTCGATGTGATTGTGAAATTGGATGGGATACTTATACAAACTGAGGGAAGATAATGTTGCTTAAATTTTGCAAACTGAATACCTACATTTTACTTAAGGGGGTTCAGTACCTAAAAACCTTCAAAAAATCGAATTTGAGATTTTGATCAATAATTAAACTAGAAACTATTAGCNAAATTATCTTCAAAAGGAATATAATGTTTTAATTGTTTTTTAATAAAATGTTCAATAAGAAATATTGAACTGAGAGGCAATATTTAGCGCAAAAAAAAAAAAACGAATGAAAAAATAAATATGATTTTAAAATAGACTCATATGTTTCTTATTTATTAATCTTTTTTTATTTTGGAAAGATACTCTTTAAATGCGTTATCGCTTTGTATTGGTTAAAAGGTAATACTAATTT